CCCCCCCCCCCCCTCCGGATCTCCCCGTAATGTCTTCGTTTTGTCGTCTAAATTGCCCTACGTGACTATGAGTAACCCCTTCTCGCTTGCCTCCTCGTCTCGTCTCGCTTGTGTCGCCCCCTCGTCAATTGCTTGCGTCGTTTCACCCTGCATGGTTTGGTTCATGGTTCATCATCAGTCACGACCCACAAGACACCTTCGTGAATCCGCCCGCGATGATGTATGCTGCCGCATGATGATCCGCATGATCCACAATGCCTGTCTCGCCTGAGATGACGACGCCGGGGTCACGAACGATGCATTACGCATTCTTAAGATATCGATGATGCGACGAGATGTGAAGCACCTCGTTTGGATGTAAGAGTATTTAGTGAAAGCAAGGTGTCTTGGTCATTTGTGTGTGTGGCGTGAAACACCGCGTGCGCAGCGACTTGAGCGTGACCGTGATGCGCTGCATCGAGGGTCGAGGAAATGACCATGTGTTTGAGCGGGGGAATAGGGGGATGTGCTCGCAGTGTTGCTTGTTGTTTTGTTCCTTCGCAGGCCGCCGGCGTTGAGCACCCGTCTCACTGTACCGAACGTTAGACTGCTGCTGCTGCTGCTGCTGCTGAAAGCAGCAATACCGAAGATCACCATCGTCATGGACTGCCTGCTCTTGCTGTTAGATTTTCAAGTTTGGTTGATAACGATGATGATGTGGTCCTTGTAGCCACGGCCGTTGTTTCTTCGGGTTTACTTGGCTTGTTTTTTCATGGTTCAAACTCTTTCCGTCTTACTTATTCACATATGCTGTCATTGTTTTAGAGCCATGTTCTCTGCTCCTCTCGACCATCGCCCAAGCGTGTACTGATGCATCTGTTTTACAAGCCGTTTCCAGACAGCGTTTTGTGCTGTCGTTTCATGCTACCGCGCACAGGGCCCGACCTTTGGAACAACAATCCTTCGAATCATCTGTTGACCGGTTGCTGTGATCTATAAATCAGTACAAGTTTAACTTCTGCCCTCAATGGTCCTGTGACATGACACTATCAAACACGATGATGACACGCGCGATTTGCTTGTTCAAAGTCCCGGTGTCAACGCCGTCAACTTTCTAGCCCGGCAGGCCTGCTTTACAAGTTCGATGGAAGATGGCGCTGGCTCTCTTGGCGCCCGAATTTCGGACCAATGCGGCGTACTTGCATGCCGAACGCTCGCGCTTGAATGCCCCCGTAACTCCAGTGTTTTTGTGCGGAGACTTAAGGCGTGACAGTCTCTTGTTTGCGTTCTTCCAATCCTTATCCATTCATTTTTGTGTGCCGCCCCTTTGTCCTCGCGATTCGACCTTGTACAATTTTTTTAGCAATGCCTTGGTGTTGGTCAGTTTTTTTAGCGATTTCCGCAGAGTAGACTACGGCTTCAAGCTCTAGTCTATCTGTCACCCTTGAAACTTGGGCTGTAGCTTCCTCCTTCCCACCCGCTTCTCGTCATTGTGGCACCTGGCCTTGCTTGAGGCCACAATCTCCACGAAACCGCCTCGAATTCGACTGAGAGGCCACAAAACGAGCTGTGACAATGAACGGGCGGTGACGGCACCAAGGTAAATGCGTTGTACGCGCGACGAGTGCACATGAGGAAAAAGCATTCAGCAGTGTAGGCTTGAAAAACAAAACAACCTTGACATGATGTGAATCAACAGGTCAACACAGGCATTTGCAGAGAGGTTACCGGCGCCTTCTTCCCTGCCTGGGCTTCAATACGCGACCCTGGTGGAGGGTGTTGAGTGGACTGTACTTTTTGATTCAATGCGCCGCTTTCTCGAATGACAAAACCGTCGTCTTCAAGCACCTTCTCTCTTGATCGTGCCAACCAAATAAAGTGAGGCAAGCTGCGTTGCCATTATTACTTTCAAAGCCTAGCACCATTCCAAACTATAGTAAAAATAGCAACACTGGCATATATAGTCTATTTTTTTTTTTGTCATGACTTGAAATCAGCGCTCATAGCACTACACAATGCCGTTTTCACCGTGGTCACACAGAAAAGCCTCTCCTCTCTACCCTCCTCTCCTGCGGTACTTTGCCTTTGATTTTTAATGCGAGAAGAGTTCAGCACTCTTCCCTCTGTACACATCAACTGTAGAGTTATCCACTAGTTCAGGAGCGGAAGCTAGTTAAAAACTATTCCGCAAGGACAGCTCGCTTTCACCGGCAGACGAGACCAACAGAACCAACTGCTGGTGCCAGACTTGTATTTTTGTTTTTTTGTGGGCTGAAAGAAAGCGAGTGAGGTCCATTCCCTTGCCGAAAGGAAGAATGCTCAAGTGCATGGTCTATTAGACTGCCCCCGTCCATCACGTCCTCCCTTGACTTGCTCCAAAATATGGCCATGTGTTTATTGATGACTTGAGTGCTTAATCGAATAGTAATCAGTGCATCGGAGCGAGCGTCGCTTGACTTCTCAACTTTTCGTATGTCGTCGGCGTTGCCCTACTTTCGCGATCGATACGGGCAGGCACGGGGTTCCGTTCACTCGACATCCAAGTGGGCGTTTTGTTTTGAGACTCCGACAACGTCTGAGAAGGGAAGTTCACCGGAAGTTCACACCTCTAGTGTACGAGCCGTGGATTTGATGGCATTATTATACATTTGCTGGCCTGTAGTAAAACCCGAGTTGTCCTACCGTAGGTAAATACTAAGCTAAATACTAAGCACCTGTAGAACTACGCGGAAGACGAAACAAACGTATTCCACGCCCGAAATCTATTTTTGTCCCTAGTTTACCCAATTTTCGTGCATGGTTTCTTTCGTCCATCGCACCAAAATTGCTCCCACTTGCCTGATGATTCGTGTGAGAAACGCCCACATGCCCGAATGCCCCCCCAAACCGAAGCTGATTGGCTTTCGGAAGCAGTTTTGCTCATCGAAGGTTGCTACTGGAACTTATGCTAATCTCCGCGTGCTAGCATTGGCAACACAACATACAGAAAAAATGGTAGTTTAGGGTTATAGGGCCAGGGTTGGTTATGGGTGCGTAGTTTCTTCCCAGCCAAACGTGGCCCAGCAACGCGGAAAATGAGTCCACAAAGTTCATCAATGCATGAAGTCGACTTTACGATATGTTGAAGTCTTCAGAGGGGAAGGATGGCTGAATCATTGTCGCGAAACAACCATCTGTGTCCAACCCATGCGGACATACAAAACCTCTCGCAGTTTGTCACCCCCGGCGGATGATGTTGTTGTTGTTGTTGTCTTCACATTAAACCGTATGTCAGTTGCCAAATGCCAAAATCTAGCAAAAGACTCTCAGCCCGTGGTCACGAAAGCGCTAGAGCCATCTGAGGATCTAAAGAACACGCACACATATAACGAGAAAAAGGTATCCAAGAGCCCGAAGAGGTACACCTTAAGATCCCTGCAGCACCGTATGCGTGCCCAAAAACTGAACTGCACGTCCGTCCCACCGTTCGACTACAGTAGCATCACCCCCTCCCTGTCCCATTCTATACCAAAACGGAAGATTGCCGACTACAGCATACTGCTGTCTGAAGTGCCGTCTGTACAAAAACACCATGGTAGGCATGGAACAAGCAGCTGGCGGGGCACAAAGCTGCTGTCTGAAGTGCTGTCAGAATGTGTCTGCGGCCGTACAGTGAAAAAGAACAACCAACCAAAGCCATCATAGCAGCAATTGACAATCACCCGAATCTCTCCCGATCGTCTGTGTAGGCACTGCAGTGAAAAATATCGACACTAGCTAAGAATCGTTCCACATTGAAGGGGTCTTCCACGATCAGGCACATAACCAAGGCACCCGGGTTAGCCACGCCATCTCTGACGGGTCTCTCTACAAAACCAGTGACGACGTCATCACATAGAACCAACACCGAAAATCAGGAAAAAAACGAGAAAAATTGACAACACAGATCAGATATAAATGTTTGTCCGTGCGCCACGGGTCGATGTCGCCCGCATGCTCCGGTGCCGCTGCTCCGTCCGGCGCCGCTGTAGTCAGCCCGAGCATAACGCCACTCGACCTGCTCCGTCCGTACACGCTCTCGTTGCTGTCCTTCCCAGTCCGTTCCTCGCTTTCTCCCTCATTGCACTCAAGGTTCTTGGTCTGAAAAAAATAAAAATTCTCGCGCCGAATGGTCAACCAGCCTAGTTCAGCTCGTCGCCACCTGCTCCCTCCTCCTTTGATGGCGAAGCCAGGTTACTGAGGCAATACAGCTCCCTCTAGCAAACCTAGGGCCGTGTAGTGCCCGTCCACCTTTCTGATGGTGTCTGCCTCCGCGCACAAAAATGAGATGGGCATCACTGCCTACGCCGACGGCCAGAAAGGCCCGCCATCTACATTTTCCCGCCTGACCCCATCAGTGCCGACCCAACTCCACCACCACACGCACGCCTCGCGGCGGATGCGCAGCAGCAAGAAGGTTTCGGTCATCCCTTGAGGGTGAGTCTAGCCCTGCTCGCCAGAAAGACCCCCCCCTTCGCTACAACCCATGTCTAAGCAAAAGCTTGTCGGGGAGCGAGGGGAAGAAGGGAGATATAGTGATGATGCGTTCACACAAAGGTACACTGGCGTCCGGATAAACGGAACGATATCATCACATATCACCCAAAAACTCACCATAATTTCTCAGTCTGAGTCTGTCTGTCGTTAGCCGATGTACGATAACAATACTCGCGCATCTGCAGGAGGAGGTTGTTTGCAGCAATTCGGCGTCGCATGCACCCAGGCAAAAAAACTGGCCCCACTTGATGACTTAAGCTGCGTGCCTCGAGTTCACGGTTGGTTGTGAGCAACGTTATTGATGGCTGGTTCACAAAAGCATGTACTGGTTGTGCGATTTCCAGAGCCCAGTCCGATACGACTGGTGTTGACCTGAGCGCGCAGACTAAATAACGAACCATGTTCGAACGCCTGAGCACGAAAAACTTCTCAAAACACCCCAACACTGCCTTAAATCCTTCAAAACATTGAATATACGCCAGTCAGCAAATTCTCACAAACAACCAACAAAGCAGGCAACGGTCGACAGCTCTCCGAGCCACCTTTGTCAAAGCAGGAATTATAAGAGAACGCTTCTACATGCCGCTACGGTACGATTTGCGCCAACTCCCCCCCTCCCCCTCGACACCAACACGACAACAATGCGTTCATGATAAGATGGTGCTCTTTGTCAGGACCAGACGGGCCTTCCGTTTCTCACTGCTACACCAATCACCCCCCGGCTCATGCCCTTGACGGGAAGTTCAGGTTTTGCACCTCGTGAAGAAGCTTGACGCGTGGCCCCTTGGGAAACCCTAGGTCCTTCAAATCGTCCTGAGGCGACAATTACAACGCAACGTGGGCAGACGAAGATGAAAGCGGGAGAAAACCGTCAGTACCCGCAACACAAAAGATTTACCGAACAAGGGCTGCGAAGGGGTGCGATCGAAAAGTAGCCCAGACGTTTCAACAGTGACCCCAACTTAATAACGTTGCAGGGCAACCGCGGGCTAGTGTAGGGGTCTTCTCATGCACGGAGACACACTTGCGGGAAACAACACTGCTGGCAATCAATAAACGAATATGCGACTAATGGAACACACGGAGCAAGTGGACTGAGCACATTCAACACTGCGACCGGGGATAAGACAACAGGATGCTTCGAAATGCATCTCCACACACACGATACCAGGATCTGGACAAAAACGGACAATTGAAGGGCGTTGGATCTGGCGCACTCGAGTCAACCATCACCTTCCGATCGCCAAAGCTACTGGTTATTTTGTATGAGAGGCTATGACACGGAACGAACCACAAAACACGCACCTCGCCGAAAAGCCGCAGCGCGTCCAGATCGACCTCCGCTTCCGCCAGAACCGCAACGTACTTGCTCAAATTCAGCCGTGCCAGCACGTCCACCACACTGTTGCCGTTCGACGAGTCGGTGTTCTCCCTGCCCTGGACCGATTCCGGCGAGCCACTCGAAGCCCAGTCCGTCGACCCGTTACATGACGACGACCCTGCCACGGACAAGGACCCAGCCGACACCGTTGCTGTCGTCGTCGTCGAAGAGGGGAGCGTGCCGGGAGTATCATTCCCCGCGTCACTGCTCAGAGGAGACTCAACTCCTGAATCGGGGACGGACAAGAAGCTCGAGCCCATCGCCGATGTCGATCCCAGACCCGAGCCTGAGCCCGGGGACTGAGGAATCGCATTTCCGAGGTTGCTGCGGCTGTTGCTGCAGCTGCCAAAGTTCTCCCCCGCTAGCAACCCGGACCCGAAAAGTGACTCAGATCCGCCACCGTGAGCGGTGCCGGAAAGGGGTGCGCCCCCCGTCCAGTTGGCACCCCCTCCGCTCGCCAAAAAATCGCCACCGAGCAAGCCCGGCCCAACCAACGTCTGCGGCTGACCCCCGTTGTGGTTGGCCGACAGATGGCCGCCGCCAAACAGTGACTCGTGCGGAGACACGTGCCGCAGGGGCTGCTGCTGCTGCTGCTGCTGCTGCTGCTGCTGCTGCTGCTGGTGCGTTCCGCTGCCGTTCATGTACAAAAGGCCGTTCGACGGCTCGTACTGACCCTGCGAAGGCCGTCCGCTCGCGCCGTCATGTCTCAAGCTGGCAAGGAACCGTCCGTCCCCGCCGAGAGGGGGCGAGGCTGATCGCGTCGCAGATATCGAGGTCAATGGTGCGGCCGGGCGCACTACCGGGGGCGACGGTGACGACGGCGGCGGCCGCGGCGGCGGCGGCGTCAGCTGCTGCTGTTGGGTCTGTGCAGGAGCATTCGCGAATCCGCCCAGCTCTCGCGGCGGCGCGGAAACAGCGACCGCGGGTGCCGCAGAGGGCGCGGCGGGAGGGGTTGCTGGCGGCTGCGGCTGCGACTGCGGCTGTGGCTGCGGTTGTGTTGGCGCCGGCGCCGGCGCCGGCGCCGGCGCTGGGGGCGCTGGCGACGGCACGTTCGATTGTGGCAGCGGAATCGGGTCGCTACGTTCGACATCGACTTGCCCGGCACCACGACCACGTCCTCGCGCCCGGTTGGTTCCGGGCGGCGCGGTGGGTGCATTGACGCCTGGTCCGTCTTCGTTGCCTCCTCCTTCCCAGGGGGCCTTGGAGATCGGGGTGGTGCCCTCGATGTAGCCTCGCAAAATTCCCATCAAATAGGCGGACTTGTTGTGGATGTCTCGCCGGTGCTTGGAGGCCTCCTTGTAGTTCTTGAGCGCCGCCAAAGCCTGCTCCTCGCCCAGCCTCGACAGCTGCTTGATGAGCCCAACGTCTTCGAGGACGGTTTTGTCCTTGCCCGATTCGAACAGCTTCTCCAGCTCTTTCCGCACCGGAGCCTGGAGGTACGTGATCGGTCGGACCCCCGAAGAGTTTCCACCACCCCCGGCCCCCCCGTTTCCTGCCGCCCCCGTCCCTTGAGAGGAAGAAGTCGCGGTCGCGGACGGACCGCCCCCCGCGCCGTTCATCGCACCGTTCCTAGCGCCGTTCGCGTTCGGGTTGTGGCCATTCGTCGCCGAGGACGACGATTGGCCTGCCGACCCGTTCGTCAAGTGCTGGCCGTAGCCATTCGAGCTCGACTCGAGAGCGTTGCGAGCCTGGTGCACCGCGTTGCCGGGTACACCGACTATGGCCACTCCGTCTTGGTACTGCTTGAGGAAGCCTATCAAATACCCGCAGCGGTTCTCGATGGCATCTCGCCCCCGGCGCTGTACCGTCGCGCGGTACTTCTTCAGCGCCGCCAGCGCCTGCACACAGGGGGCGCGGCGGAATTTCCGACACGGGTCGTGAGCGCCAACACCAGCGTTTTCAAGAAATAATTTAGTTCCTCCGCATCATCATGTTTTCGAATGCAACAATCGTTGGGTCATCACTAGGCGCCGCGTTTGCGAAAACAACGCGCGTCAACGCATCTCATAGAAAGGGGGGGAGGGAAGAAGTGACTGACTTCGGGCTAAAAGCGGTGGAGCAAGGGGCAAGCAAATCCTTCCGGGCGGGGGAAACGGTGGAGAAAGCAAAAAACAAATTCATCCAAACGCTAAACCGTGCCAATGTAACGCAATAGCAATCTCGCGGCATACGAGAGTACTGGAGTCCGTCCGCAGCCACCCTGCATTACATTAGCCTTTACGCGCTCGCTGCTCGCTGCCTGGGACACTTAAATCTAACCCTTAAAAAGCAACAGGTGCCTCGTCTTCAACGCTGCCTACAATCTACTATTATGAAGACTCAGGGAAGCCCACACCCGGAAAAACAATCTCTAGCACTACACCATTAATACATATCTAGGCCATGCCGCTTTCACCTGCTCTTCGGGCACCTTCGCCAGGAGCTCCATCAACGCGCGGTCCTCGTAAACGCAGCGGTCGAGCACCGGATCGAAGACCCCCTGCACCGCTTGGGACACGGGGGGGCTCAGCCGCTCCAGGAGCCTCTGAGCCGACCCGGCGGTGGCACCCGGGGCCGGGCCAAGCTTGTACGACTGAATCAGCGACATGAGGTACGCGGCCTTGTTCTGGATCCGCCCGCTCCCCTGGCGTTGCACGTTGGCGCAATACGTATCCAACACTTTGAGGGCCTGCGAGAAGCGGAGAGGGCAGACGGGGGTGTGGTGTTTTCCGCAAAGTTCATCAATCAATCGGCGGCATGGTGCACATGTGTTGCGCGTTGTTGAGGTTTGCAATGGTCCATGTTCCTTCTGATTTAAGGTCGGCGGCGAGTCGTTGACGATTGTTCTTACCGGCTGGAAGTGCCACTTCCGGAAGGGAGGCATACATATCTTCTCAAAACAATGCTTCGACGCGAACGCCGCGCACCCCACGCCGAGAGTTCTTGAAAATTTGGGTCGGTGTTTGTGGAAGGTCGTTGTCTTTCATTGCCAGCCACAACAATCACCATAAATAATCTCACATCGATGCAAGCTATCTCAAGCAGCTGCCGATGCGGCCGTCTTCACATGAGAGGAACGAAAGGGTTCAAGTGTAACGCCGGATTTGTGTGAGTATCGAACATGATGGATGCCATTGCTGTTGTGTATGCTGTACTTTTCGACAACAACTGCTCTGTTATTTTTTGGAATGGGCAACTGCTCGCGGCAGAAAGTAAAAAGGACTCCCTGGTGGTGTTGCAGTTGATATTTCGGATCAAACTGAGAATATAGCATGTCGTAGCTCCGATACAATCGACCTATCTCGACATACGCAAGCGAATCCGCGAACGCGGACGAAACGGCGTTTCTTCATCACTACAGCAGATAGGTGGACACAGGCATAGTCTACCGCTGCGGGAGGAGGGTATGGTCAATTCCACCGCATAAAAATCAAATTTACCTCCAAACTGAAAAATAGGCATTTCCTTCGGGCCTGTGCTGCGTGCAACGCCCGTGGGCTGCACACGTGAATCAATGGCGCGATAATTTGTTTCCACCTTGTCGGAGTAGCTAACCCGCGTGGACTCCCGCCCACCAAACGTTTGATTGCACTTCAGGGTCCGGGGCAAGAGCACGCGTTGCGCGCTGGATTCACTCTCACATCTCGGGCCAAACAACAGGAGCAGCTGCAATTTGAATTTGGACTTTGTCAACTGCTATTTCGTTTGCCCACAACCAGATCACAGGCCGCCGATGCCGTACAACAACAGGTGCTGTCGGCGCTATATCTAGCCGGCCAGACGCTAGCTATCCCATTGGCGCGCTCACCTGTTTCGTTTGCAGCTCCGACAGCCCGGTCAGAAGGGGATCATCCTGAAGAGAGGTGCGATCCAATCCAGCCAGCGCCGCCTTCCGAACGGGTCCTCGTAGCTTATCCACCGGCCGGGTGGCTTGGCGAGGCATGGTGTAGCTGGCAACTGCAAGTCGGTTGGTGTGGAGAAAATCGGGTCCAGCAGAGGTGTGTAGCACACAGCAGAAGCAGCACAACAAGCAGCAGCAGAAGCAGCAGCAGCACAGCAGCCGCAGCGGATGATTTCGGCGCCAACCTCTCTCTCGGAACGACTACCAACCAAAAATGCGGTTGTAGGTTTGGTTCGCAAATCAAAAGTATCGGCCGGCCTAGCTGTGCATCGACCAACTACGACTATTGCTGGTACTTCAGTTGCCAGCTATGTGCTCACCGACTTTCACCAGCGCGCGGGCTTCCGCGGAGTCACCAGCAAAGGCGCGTGCTTTGCCACACAAAATCATTTATGACGAGGCTTTCCCTTAGCCGGGGGCGTGTGTCGTTGTCCCCCCCCCACAACAAAAATAATGTCGTGCCGTCTGCCGACCCCAGCTCCCAGCGGTTTTGGTTCCCTTTATGTCAACAGCAGTGTACAATGGACTTGTTCCCCCCATTTGCCACCAGAATGCACACATTGCAAGGAACTACGATTGTCCCTTACAAAGAGAAGGCTTAACGTGAATTGGATGTGCGTGATTGGTGATCACCCCATGTCGTAACGGCTGCGCTTTGCTCGGTAGGACTATATCGTCTAGTCTACCCTTTGGGGAATATTAACGGCCGGTTGGCCGGTCTTATTTTTGCTGGATGGGGGTGGAATGGGGACAATGCGATACCATGCCTCCAACAACAGTTTCATTGCATGGATGAAAGCACAGAAATAAATACCCGGCGAACATGGATATTTATATATATATGGCTGTTCGTGAATGATGGAGTCCGAACAATATAGACTTATCTCTCCTGGGGGGGGCTTCGAGGCACACGTAATAGTCTATGAGAAGTCTAGTCGTTCCAACAGCGGAGTGGCTCTGCCAATGTACAATGGCGTCACTAGTGTCACAACATGATTGACATCGAACAGCGCACACGCCCGTAGGTCACACACAACGCAGATGCTTTTATGTATCCCCGACACATCGAGTTGTAACTAAAGTCGTTTCGTCGATTTTCCCTCCTACCCGTAATGGTGGTCTAGGTGGCGTTCAAAAGAAACGACAGCGATACTCTGCGCTTGGCTTTGAAACAGTTTTCCGGTGTGTTTGATAACGCGGAATGGAAATTAGCCCCGGACATAGGGGCAGGTATCAAAAGAGAGCGCCTTCCATAATCCATACTCCGTTTACCACAGCACATGGAGTCAACACGTAAGACAGCAGTCATACCCAGGCCTACAACACCCCATCAACCGAACACTTATCAGCATGCACATTTCACGACAATTTTCGTTTGAACAACGGTAATTGTCAAACACGGGGCAAATCACTGTCGTACTTATCCTTCTTACAACTTGACCGACCCCCCGAAGATCCAACCCACACCCTTCCAAAAAACATCACCCATCAATGCCCCCCCCCGCGACAACGACTAGTGGCGGATAACATGACACGGCAACTTGCCGCGGTCTGACAAAACGCACGTTCGGAACGGCGCGCACCATCTATTATTAGACATACCTAAAGAATCTATGTGTTGCGAGCTGTCTTCAAGGGCAGGGTCGGTCGTAAAAGTGAATAGAGCTGTAGACTAGACCGTCCTTCCTCCCAAACATGCCTTCCTTCTTCTCCTGACAGCGAGATGAACGTGCATTACAGCCTGCACTCACCACGGCACAGAAGAGTTCGCGTTGGGCGGATAACGGCCGTGTGCGCAAACTCTTACCACACACACCACGTTACAACCACACCCCACCCTCCTGAAGGCTGGGTCTGCTGAGGCGATCTATCCAACAACGACATATCCTGGCTGCATTCTGCCCGTAAAGGAGTCGCGTACTGCTGTGAGCGGACAGGGGGGGGGAAGTGCACGCATTTCCTACATAGCGCCTAGTCCTCCTCTTTGTACCAGTCCTGCGATGCCCACCCCCCGCTCTTTTGTCCAAATGATATCGCCTGTCGCTTCATAGGATCTCGGTCTTTCCCGCGCTGTATTGTTTTCCCCCCGGTGCTGACCTTGTACTCCTGCCGCGAACAAGTATCGGAGATGAGCATTGACGAGGAAATTAATTTACATCACAACATATTTAATTGCTTTGGCGCTTGCTTATTGACCTCACCGAAGTAGTCCGTCGGCCTGGTCGTAAAGCAAGAGTAACTGGCGTGAGCGAACTCAATTGAAGCGAGAAGTGAGAAAAAACAAAAGTGCGATACAATAATAATACCAAGGCCATAGGTTAGAACGCCAACAGAAAACCTCAACTTTTGTACACGCAGAAGCCGACAAGCCGTTCCTTTGTTGGAGAAGGCGGAGCTCTAGGTCGGACGTGTACGTTAAACTACGCCGGAGAAACGCGCGGCAAGCCATGCGTGCCCCGTGCTCTTGTCATTTCGGTGACTTTGTGACGCCGGAAATATGTGAGTAACTATATTCTGCCTAAGGATAAGAGTTCACAACGATTGTTTAATGGCAAGACGACGATAACATCAGCAACCGCAGCAACAACGACGATGGCGAGGCTAAACCAGTACTACTGTAGCTCAACTCGGGCGCAAGGCGTGCTGATCAACAGAAGAATAGTATGCGCGCTGATCTAAAAGGCGTGCAGGAGACAAAACGTAAGCGGCTGTGAGTAGGTTGTGTCGCGTGGTGCTCGCTCACGTCATGCGCCGCCTCAAGAATGGCCACATCCTCCGGCAGCAGCGACCAGCCCAAGCACCCCACTATCTCGTCCGCATGTGCCTTTGTCTTCACTCCAGGCAGCGGAACGACGCCCTTCGCTCTGGTCCCACAAAAAAAATCAACAGACAGGGGTGCGCGAATAACATCGCGTGAGCAAATGTAAGTGCGTGTATGCAAACAAGAACGGGAGGAGCAAACTGTTCCATGAGGTGACGCGCGCACGGGGGGGGACATAGCAACAACTCACGAGATGACAGGATAGCAGCAGCAGGCCTCGCGGGCCACAAATCTCCCTTGGACCGAAATCCCCCAGGGATACTACGTGCAGAAATTCAGGAGGAAAGAAACACGGCCGAAGCAAACATTTCCCAGTAGCAGGACAAAATGTACTTCGCCGGGCACTGCCACTCTCTCTCTCTCTCTCTCTCTCTCTCTCTCTCTCTCTCTCTCTC